TCATTTTTAAATAAACAAACTGGTCACTTTCGACCGATATGATATAGTATTTCGATCCAGCCGTCTTCGACATATCTGTTCCCTGCGACAAATATACATATTTAATTCAACTTTATGGGGTCGGAGACGTCTCCTTCAATTACATGACATTACACATGGCAAAACAAAAATGATAATATCCTCTGCAAGGGTATAAATATGGTATTACCAACAGCGACAACAATACAAAGAACATCAGCAATTCATAAAGAAGATAAATGAACGGAAGCCGCAGTCCAAATATACCCAAAAACCAGAAGAAAAAAAAAAGGAAAAGTTGGACCAAGAAGCAGCAGCAGCAGGCAAATAGCTGTGTTACCCCTTCCTCCCTCTCCTTCTCTCCCTCTCTCTCTCTCTCTCTGTCTGTGTTGTCGGCTGAAAACTTGGCTCAGACGTTGGCGTGCAGTCAACAGTAAAAGTCAAATATTGTAATTATGCAAAATACATAATTTACTTTGAATTAACAGCTGAAAAAGAAGGAAGCGCAAAAGCAACAACAACAACAGCAGCAGCAACAACAACAACAACTAAAGCAGAGAACAAGAGATGGTCAAAGGAACAACTGCGGCATAAAATGATATTGAAATTGGCCAAGAGATAAGCAACAGTAACAGAAACAGCAACGGCAACGGCAACGGGCAACAGAAGGGGCACGGAGCATGGGGCACGGGGCACGGGGCAACTGAGGCGTTGCCCAAATGCCGCTCAAGCAACTGAAATAAAATTCAATTAAATTGCAAACGGGCCGACCGCAACGCTCCGTCGGTCAACAGGTAACAACAACAGCTAACAGCTACAACAGCTAACAGCTATGGCAGGTAAAAAGTCCAGATGAATACCATCCGTCAGCCTTACTTGCGGTTTTCTTCTCCCTCTTCTTCCTGTTTTTTCTTTTGTTTTTATGGCACCTGCCACAAGCCAACATTGTCAGCTGGTCCGGCTGAAACACGCGCGAGGATCCGACAAAACTAGCCCGGAGCCAAAAAAATAATATATATATATATATATATGTATATATAAAAACAGCAGCGGCTGCTTCATCACAACAATCATCATTATCATCATCATCATTATCGTCATCAGGCAGCTGCGATTGGGGCACCCAAAAAAAAACAAAAAAAAAAACAAGGGTAAAAAGTGGGCGTGTCTGGCATCATTATTCACTTGATCAGCAAATGAGCATTCATTGAGTAGTAGCCAACAGTAAATGCAACACAAGCCGACGGACAATCAGCAGATAGAAAACTAACTACAAACCAAAGTTGGCAATTTCGCTTAACGTTAAGTTAACGTTACATTGCAGACAATGGCTTTAATACTCTCGAAGATCAGCAATATATGCACAAACTTGAAATTATACTTTGCTTTTGATTGTCATTATAAAGCATTGCCAAATCAATTGGATGGTCTCAAAACTTCTTTAAAATTACTCATAAGTTATGATTGCCGATAATCGCATATTGTTATTGGCTAAACGTGATCCTCTCAAGTCATTAAAAGCGATTGCCGCACCGTAATTGGAAATGCTGTATCCTTACCAACTTTTCAGAATTTAATATAGGATTGTTTCCATTTTGATCGGCTAACGTTTCCTTTGGCATCGTTTGACCAAACAAATTGATCGTATTTTTTTGGCAACCCTCTGATCCGCGCCAGTTTTTATTAACCAATGCTGGATCGGAGATGCCATTCTCTGAGTATTATAAACTTATTACCCATTTTCAATAGATATACGCTATCTATACACTCTAAAATAGACAAATGTATCAACAAGGTTGATCCGTTGTATCAGCCGATATATAAAGTTGAAAGTGCAGCCATATTTAACATGAATAATATTTTTCATATTGTAAACAAAAGCTTGGCTTGCTTTTCTTAGTTTGTTGATACAAAAAACAAATTCTGTAAACATATAAATTTTTATATATATATTATTTAGGGGATAATAAAATACAAACAGGCAAAGAATTGATCAAATGCAGTGCAGACACAATTATAAAGATGACAGTTTGAGGAAAATGTTAAAATGTTATCAAATAGTTGCTGCAATTTAATAAACGCAGGGAATCCATCTCATTCATTGTGCGTTTGGCAATCGGATGAAAGTAGACGTTAACATGATAATAATCGGTTTAGTTTCTTTTCGCCTTATCGCCTGCTGCTTCCTAACGCATTCAAGCGGACAGGTGCAAAATTGTTGTTGGCCCAAACAGAAACAATTTGGCAAACGAGCGAAGCATATTAAAAAATGTCGTGAAAATAAACCAAATCGTGGGAACAAGAGGCGGAGGGGGGGAAAAGGGCGTGCCTGAACGGCAGGATAAGTGAGCAAATACATATATATATATATATATATATATATATATATATTTATATATTTATATTATGAATGGATGAGTAAACAGCTAAGAGATGTATTAGATAGATAAGGTGCATATAAACATACACACATAGATACATATATTTATATATATAGCGCGAACAATAACAAACAATGAAATGACAGTTGCAAACACAAACAAAACAAGACAACAAACATCTATAACAGTTACAACAACAACAAGAACAACAACAACACACAGAGAGACAGAAGACGAAGAATTGTTGTACGTTCAACCAAAATACTCACACTGCAGCCGTCTCTCTTTCTTTTTCTCTCTCTCTTTCTCTTTCACCCTCTCACTCCCTCTTTTTTTTCTCTTTATTCCTCACTCTTTCTCTGTCTGCGAAGTCTCTTCTACTCTTTCTCTCCTTCTCTCTTTTTATTTCTCATGCTCTATGAGATTTTTTTTGTTCGCACACACGATTTTTCACTTATGGAATATTTAATTTTTTTTTATTTTTTTTTGTTTGTTAAGTTTTTAAGCCGCAAAAGTAGTTTAGAGATTAATGTGCTTCTGTGTTTGCCTTTGTGTGTGTGATTGTGTGTGTGCGTGTGTGCGTGTGTGTGTGTGACTTGTAGGCCAAGTAAAAACCGCACGCAAATTCAAAAGCAAATAGAAAACAATAAAAAATGATCCAGTCACGAGTGATCGACTAGAAGATACGCTATAGCTATAACAGAAGCAGAAAAAAACAGAAGAAAAAACAACAATAAGCAAATAAAATAATATACGAGAAATAAATTAAAATGTGTTTTGCACAACAATCGAAATAATAATAATAATAATAATAATAATACAAGAATGGTAATAAAACTACTGATGCTGGTCAAGGCGAGCCGAGAGTCGCACATGCCCGCACAGCTCCGATTAGAGTGTATCTTCAAATGTTGCCCATTTCGATGCGCACTTTTTTATGGCTTTCAGCATTTTTATTTTATTTTTTTTAATGGACTAGTTGTTGTTGCTATTATTATTGCTGACCGCTTATGGCTCATATTTATTCATTAGCTCTGTCGTCACTTTTAGTCATTTCATGTGCTTTATACTAGTACTAATACAATGCCAAAGACCAAAATATCGATATAAAAAAGAAAAAAATGAAGAAGAAAAAAAGACAAATGTAAAAGGTGTCGTCGACTTGAAATCGTCTAAAAAAGTCACTTCGCTCAAATCATCAACCGTCTGCCAATCAAATTAACACATTCCAATTAGCATTTTGCACAGACACACACACACACTCACACTGGCACACACACACACACACATACACATACGCGGGCAAACTTACATAATTGAATTGATGCAAGCTTTTAGGCCAGAGCAACTTGCTCAAAGATTTTGGCCTGGCAACAATGTTCGACAAAAACGTTTTAAAGTTGTCTCAAAACGCCGTTTCCAGTTGCTAAAGTTTTCGATAGTCAAATGCGATCACAGTAGTAAAACCAAATGATCGTTTATGAATATTAAATTTGCCATATACATACAAACACACATAAATATATATATGTATGTCTGTAATATATAACTTAATATCATTGCATTTAATCGATTGTGTGTGCAACAGGAGAGTGTATTATTGAAGTGAGCAAACTGGTTCAATATTATGCAATGCTTCCAGCCATTTACTAAGTGGACATAAGCGTGTGCCCTTGATTGTGTCAACCAAAGGGACTGTGTGCTTCTTAAGACTTTTAGAAAGTATTCAAATTATTATTTATCCGACTCTGTTCCTGAAGATAGATACTAGTTAGCCAGAGTCTTAAAACTTGCAACATATATTCGCCCATACCCGGCATCGGATAAACTGTTCAAATTGGGAGGCTGGGAAATCGATAACATCGATCAAATAAATCAAAGCTAGAGTCACCCAATTTAGAGGGTATATTGCTGAGGACTTGCGCCTAAGATCGACTTACATCGGCAAATATCTATATATATCTATATCTCAATGCCCATTTTTCCACCAGATCATTATATTCGATTATTATTGTGGGTAGATTATTGGTTAAGTGGTACATATAGATGTATTTCTATAGATATTTTTCCTTCAAAAAGCGAAAACAAAATTTATAGTTCGATTTTTGTTGAAAGTTATGTTAATGATTTTTGATTGGGCGAGGCCCGCTCATCCATTACCCCTCCCACTGCCCCACCCGAAGCTTATGTGGCACATATTATCAGCAGGTATCTCCCTGTTATCAGCGTATTCCGCATTCGGTTATGGGCGACTGCAACGCTCTCACTTTGTTTAAGTTGTTGTTTAGTTTTTATTGACAAAATTTGCAAGGTTAGTTTTTTTTCATTGGGATGCGAAAAAACACGCAATATTTTTAATGGCAAGTTGACGCTCAACTATATACATATATTTATTAATGTTTTTTATGGCCTGGCTGAAGCAAACCGCACCAACAACAACAAACAACCACAAATAGAAAAATTAACTAAAAAAAAAAACTAAGAAAATTCAGAGAACTTAAGAAAATTTAAAAAAAAAGGAAGAAAATAAATGTAAAAACCAAAAAAAAAAAAAGAGAAAAAAACTAAAAATATAATTATAATTATAATAAGTGTACAAACATTTAAAAAATGGCAATCCAAAATTAATCCACATGGTAAAATGTTCGTGCATTTTTGGGCGTCGCAACAAAAATGATTTGTGCTCGTTGTTTTAGTTGTTTTAGTTGTTGTTGTTGTTACTGTTGCTGTTGTTGTTGTTGTTGGTTGCCCACGATTTGGTTTGAGTTTAATTTGTAGTTTCGTTTTGTTTATTTCGATCATTTGCATTACTGCTTACTTTATTTATTTATTTATTTATTTCTTGATTTGTTTTTGTTATCACATGTTGCGTTTTCTATTGTTATCGTTGTTTTGGTAGCTGTTAAGTGTGTGGTTCTTGTTGTCAGTATTGTTGTTAATGTTGTTGTTGCTGTTGCTGTTGTTCTTTGTTGTTGTTGTTGTTGTTGTCGCTTGAGCACTCACTCAATTCCAAGACACCCAAAACCAAAATAGATGCTGTACAAAAAACCATTTAAACAATAAACAGACAGCAAGAAATCACTTTTACCACTCGCAGCAACAACCTAAACAACAACAACAACAATAAAAACAACACCAACAACAACAACATCAGTGACAACGACTTGGAAAATGAGACAAAGTCATCATGTCTGGCCGTGTGGCGACAATTTGTGCATAAATCAAATTAGGCTGTCAATCTGCTGCTACTGCTGCTGTTGCTGCTGTATCTGTATCTGTATCTGTATCTGTATCTGTAAAGTGTATCTGCAACTGTGTATCTATATATCTTCAAATAACTTCATTAGCATTTCAATCTGAATTGTGTACATAATACGTACATTAACATGCTGCTTATATGTATATGGTTTACGTATACACACATAATGACATACAGCAACGGTCAAGACAATAGTAGTAGTGCTGCCTCATAAAATGTATAATCTAGATTTTGTTTACCCTTTCTTAGACTCTTCAATGCATTCGATCATCGATCATTTTACATAATGTGTCCTAACAGTGTACAAAATAATAATAATAAATATTACATTTTCAACTTGCTTAAGTGCATGCCAAATAGGAGGTGTTCATTCAAGGGTTACTCAACAAACATTGTGCAGTTGAAAGGCGAGCATTCATTTCAAAGCAGATTCCAATATATATACCCATATCTGTTGAGTCTAACCTATGAAATATATACTTCGATTTTACTATATGTACATACAAAGCACTTGCATTGTGCCAGCAAATGTTGAAACTGTTGGCAGCAGGGTGTCAAACTGCAACGAAGTTGAATTCCGATTCGGACACGTCAAGTCTGTCTATATCTCGGTTAGATACAGCAAATATAATGAAATTGATATATCAGCAGGAGAACTGATGCCTGCAAGGGTTCCTTCTAAGCCCATTCAAAATGCGCAAGCCTCTGACCCCATAAGGTATATTTATACTTGATCTGTCTGTATGAAGAATAGGATTCGAGAGATTCCAGCTTTCGGATTCCGATTCTGAATATCAATCGGTTAAAATGCGATTGTGTTTCAGTTCCAATTACGATTTTACACGCTGGTTGGCAGACGTCTCAGCGATAATTAACCAGTGTCGATAAGTCCCAGAAATTTAATACCAAGCTTGAAGTCTGCCAAGGAACACTTCAATTAACAATTGCATAAGGAGAGGAATCTTTTGTGGTCGCCGGAATCAAATCACATGCAAAACAATTAACAAGGCAAATTGTCAATGATAATTTAGACGAGTTTATATATATATATATATAAAAATGGGCGTGCATTTTTAAACGATCCAAGTTTCTAAATAACACTCCTCATTTTGAAGATACACTCAGACACATTACATACATGTATACAAATCTCTGTCTGCTAACCGACCACTCACTTAAAGCGAGCTACTTTCTAGGGAGGGTGTCAGCGAGCGGGGGCGCAAAGAGTGAGAGAGAGCGTGTGAGAGAGAGAGAGACAGCTAGAGGTCGGGTGGAGGGGGAGGTGAAATGTTCGAGCTTACGGAAAACATGTTTGGGTCGCCGATCGACTCTTTCAGCGCCGACTTCCGGTTTTCTGCTGCTGTTGTTGTTGTTTTTGTTCTTGCTGTTGCTGTTGGTGTTGTTGTTGTTGACATGTGCTCACATTATTGTGGCTCACAGCGCCAAGTAGCATTTGACGAATACGAATCCGAATACGAATGCGACTGACTGTAAGCGAATTAACATACTATGAAACTATGCGATAAAGCAAGCGTGGACCTGCTTAGCTCGATAGCAGTCGCGAAATACCACACTCTCCACTGCCAGAAAACAAGTGTATGAAACTAATAACATAAGTCGCATCGGCATATATCTCGATATCATTTTGAGTATTTGGAGTAAGCAACATTGCTTTAAACATAAACAATTCTATGACAATTGACGTGGCTTTCGCATTCATATTATTTTCATTTTCATCCCAAAATAACACTGAGGCTTTATTTAAATACCAAAAGATATGAAACAAAATCGAATGTTTATATTTATTTCATATAGATAAGAACCAGATTGCTCATGGGTGGGTGACTAGCGCCTTGAGTAAGCTTGTTGCACTAGAAAAACATATGCATAAATAATAAAAAAAAATATATAAAAATATAAAGAAATTCTTGTTTCTAGTTTCAATTACAAGTTATTCATAAATATTACTGTTACTTTAATAAATATAATACTCCTAATTACTAATTATTGTTATTACGAGTATGTCGTGACTAACTATGCAATGAAGCAGGCTTTTCGCTCAGTGTAATATGTTCATAGACGCGCTGCTATGCGAAGGTCACACACCAGCAACAGCCGGCAATAACAACAACAACAACAACAATCACAACAACAACTGTGTCTGCCCAGTGGTGATTGTTGGCCAGAGGTGGGCGGTGGTGGTGGGGAGGGAGGCGTGCGACGTGGGTGGAGTTGAAGACGAAGGCGCTCACAAAATGCTCAACGGAGAACTGAGCACCGAGAGAGAAAGAGAGTTAATTTGCATTCCTCTGTGCAAAAATTTGTCAACAGAGCTATGCAAAAGGCAGATGCCTGCAGATAATAGGCAGCGAGTGTGTGTGTGTGTGTGTGTGTGTGTGTGTGTGTGTGTGTGAACTTTGGGGGGCTGTATGAAAATGCAAATGTAAGAAAAATCCAACTTATATTCAAGTGAGCGTAATAAGAACACTCACGAATGTTGAATATAGTATGTAGTCACTTCTGAGGGATATGAGCGACGAATGTATTCATGATAAACCACTTTAAAAATTTGATTGACTTGCTGAATTAAATGCACGCACACTCAGAATGCGTATTAAATTATTCACACCAAGATTTAAACGTTTATTTGTTTGATTCCGTTTAAGCAAATGTGCTTCCTGCATTCATATGGCTACCAGTGAGTAGCTCAAAAGAATACCATCGACGTGAACCATGAATGAATGCAAGTGAATATTCACTATTCACAACAAAGCACCGCCATAATTGTGTATTATCTCAGATTGTTATATATGTATGCATACACTAAAGCAGTTCGAGTACTCAAGGCAGTCATGAAAGCTAATTGAATAAATAGTAGCAACTAAATGAACTACGTAAAATTAACACTTGCAACAATAATAATTAAATAAACAAAACAAACAAAAAACTGATCTTATATTTAAATATATTTTCAAACACATTTGACACGCATTCAAATTGCAAACATTGGAAGCAAATGCACAATAATCCGATGGCAATTCTCGTTTATAAAGAATTAAGTATTAAATCACCAAATGTGGAATGTATATTGATGATGACGAGTTTCGTTAAAGATAGACATAATGACATTCAGACCACATCTGTGATAGCAGAGCATGCCGCAGTCGGTTATGCCGGTCTCCTTTAAAAACTGTCATTTACTGCAGGTGTTTATCATTTAAGTTTACGAGCTAACCAAATAGTTTTAACGACTACCGATCATATCTAAGTACTATAAGCCCCTATATATACATATATAAATATGGCAGCCGTGGCAAGGGGAAGGTGGGTCTGTTGGGGGCGTTGGGTGTGTTGGTAAAGCGGAATCCAACTTGCAGCTCTGGCATTGCCGTGCAATTGCGCAGCACACAAAAAGAAAACAATAACAAAAACAACAACAACAACAACAATAGTCATAGCAAAAACGAAGAAAAAAAAATAAATGCAAGCAGCAACGGTTTAATTGCATTTCCAGTGTTGCCACAGATATGTCGGAGTCGGATCTGAATGGCTTGGGCTGCATGTTTATTTATGAGTCGATGCGAGTCGACTTCGAGTCTGCGACATACATATACAGACAGATCTACATATGTACATGTATATACATATCGACGGGAACCTATGAGTAGGCCGCTTAGTTGCGTTTGCTGCGCTTCAAATGCAAATTTGCCAACAGTTCCCATAGCAAAAGACAAGAAAAAAAATACGAAATAAAAATACAAAAATACAAATATGAAAAGGCAGAGAAAATGTGTGCTTAGGGACAGTGCCAGGAAACAGTAACTAGCAACTACCAAGAACAACAGCGATAGCAAATTTTCGCTCAAGGACGTTTTTAAAATACGTCGCACGAGAAACGAGTTTCAAATGCCATGCAAAAGACCCAAAAAAAAAAAATTAAAAAAAAATTTAAATGAAAAGAAGTACAAACATAACCCTAAAGACCAGCTGACAGATGTGAGTGTATGAGTGTGTGAGTGTGTGAGTGTGTGCATGAGTATTCGTCTGAATAACTGAGCATCGAACGGGACAACCCTTAATTTCAAAGCATTGCGAAACTTTCCATTTACTGATAAACCTCGAAAGCCCAAACCAAAAAGCCAATATACGCACAACTATATATACATATATATCTATCTAAATATGTGCACATATATATATATATATATATATATATATATATATATATATATATAGTATAGCATTGTCAGTGTACATAGGTTGTGCACTTGCAGTAATTGGTTTTTTTCAGCTACATTTTGTTATTTGTTGATTTAATTTCGTTAGCGGAGGCGACACAAATGTCTCCGCAGATTTAAATATTTGGTTTTTCTCGAATTATAAATCGAAGCAGCAAGTCAGCTGGCTTCTTTTTATACACTTGCCACATGCAGCAAAATAATTTGATTCAGTATTTATTCAGTTTTATTTGTCTTCTTGGCGAAAACATATTAACAACTGTTGCTAAATTTGCGTAAAATTATGTGATTCAGAGAACTGAACTAAAAATGCAA